CCCTCTCCCACAGGCCAGGCCCCCTCCACGGGACCCCCCCCCACAGGCCAGGCCCCCCCCTCACCTTGAAGTACCCGCCCTCGTAGTGGGTGTTGGGGGGCCCGAAGATCGCCACCTCCCAGTTGTACAGGTCGCCCTCGTCCACCAGGGTGACCCGGAACCCCTCCACGGGCTCCTCCTGCAGCCCCTTCAGCTCCAGCAGCAGCGCCTTCTGCGAGCTGGGCACCAGCGGCCGGGCCATGCCGACAACCGAGGTAGGCCGCGGAGAAGCCGGGGACTCGCCTGAGCACGGCGGCCGGGCGAGCGGGATGGCGCCTTGCGAACCGCTTCCTCCTGCCACGGCCGGACTGAGCCTCTCACGCGCGCGGGGCACGACGGGACCTGTAGTTCACTGAGTGGGGTGGGGGGGAGCGACCCCGCCCACCGCGCCCGCGCTAACCTATGGGAGACTCAGGCCCTGGGCGTGGGGGCGGGGCCGGACGCTGAGGGACTCCAGCTCCCAGCAGCTTTTGCGAGGGAGGTAGGGATTTGTGACTTCACGGAGGGCGGGGGTAGAGGAGGAGATACCGCCCCCTAGGGGAGGCGGGGAGACAGACACTAGGGAGAGAGGCGTGGGGAGGGGTAGAGTGTGAAGGGGATTTGGGCCCGGGAAGGGGGGGGAGAAGGGATGGGGAATCAGAGCAAGAACAGGATAGGGGTGGGGAGCAGTGGGGACTGTGGGGGATTTAGAGGGGCAGGGTCTGAGATGGGACTGGGCTGGGGTTCTGTTTCAACCGGAAAGTAGGGTACGGCTGATGCGTAAACAGGAAATGCTGCAGCAACTGGCTTTGCTGAGAATACAACAGGGCTGAGCGGCTTGGCACAGCCCCTTAGTATGGCACATGTTCTAGGAAAGAATCAGGGTGTATTTCCCAATATAATTTGGCATTGGGCTTTTAGCTGGATAGTATTACGTCCATCACATGCTCCGCAGTAACAAGACTTCTAGTTTACTCCTGTTACAGCCACAGCTGGGCAGCAGAGAACAGAAGAAAGAGGCCCTATACAGCCACTGAGTCTGTGTCCTGAATAGCCTACACATGAAGTGTTCTTGAAACCCCTCAACCGCCTTGCTCAGGAAGGGAATGCAACAAAGCTAACATCAGCATTTGCTGCTGTAAATGAGTTGAGAATGAGCTCAGCTGCCGTGTGATCTGTTATACAGGAGGTCAGACTAGATGATCACTATGGTTCTTTCTCTCACCTTAGAATCTATGAGTTAGCTGCTTAGGGCACAGAACCAGGAGCCAGGACCCATGGGTTGTATTCCCTGCTCTGCCTCACTCACTAAGGCACCCCATGCAAGTCAAGAAAGGTGGCCTCTAATTTTGGGTGATCAAATTCTAACCTCAGGGACCTGACTGGCAGAGCTCCTCTTAGAATTGTGGGCGCTTAGCATCTCTGAACAAAATGAAGCCCTAGCATAGGTACTGGAATTAAGGGTGCTTCCTTACCCCCTGGCTTGAAGTGGTTTCCATTATATACAGGTTTACAGTTTGCTTCAAAGAAAAGGAGTACTTGTGGCACCTTAGAGACTAACCAATTTATTTGAGCATGAGCTTTCGTGAGCTACAGCTCACTTCATCAGTTCAATGACTCTCAGCACCCCCACTATAAAAACTGTTCCAGCACCCCTGAGCCCTAGATGTTAAACACTGGGCATCCAAAATTAGAGGCCACCTTTCAAAGTCTCCCCCTCTGTTTCTCCCCCTGCTGCCCCTTTTACAAAATGGGGATGTTTCTTAAATTCACAGGGGCTGCCAGTGCTTTGAAATCCTCACAGAAAGGGTGCTATAAAATGCAGTGTTGCTGACAGTAAAGGCTACCATGCAGTAAAGAAAGATGTTTACAGCCAAACTAAAAGTTTAAACAGTTTAATGTCCTCTAAAAAACAAATAACTGCATGAATAATTATAGATCTAAACTCACAAATAAATAAGATGTGGTCCAACCAGCATCGCCTGTTGAAGTAAACGTAGCAAGGTGTATTAGCCCATAAGGGAATTAGAACTTATCCTGTTTTTGCTTCATTATTTGGTGTTTAAATTCCAAACTTACTAGCAAATCTGTAATATACGGCAGTTTTGCTTTATAGATTACCAGTCAGGTATGATCTCTGTTTTTGAGGGTCCAGATTACAGGATGCAGTTTAGTAAATTGCAATATGATGAAATACTCTGAATAGTTTAATGCTAATATAGGGTTCTGAAATTCAGCCACTGGCCAACACAGAACTAGCCTCTGCTTTTGATGAAATCTCATTTCTTGACAGATATTTGTCATCTTACCTATTTGACAAAATTACATCACTTAACACTGAAATAGCACTTTAGAGCCTCCAAGTGCTGCACTTACTTGTTATGCCTCACCACAGCCCTCCGAGGAAGGTATTACCCCCATTTTATAGACAGGAAAAACAGAACTTAAGTGACTTGCCCAAAGTTACAAAATATATCAGTGGCAGAGCCAAGACCACAGCTCAGAAGTCCCTAACTCCCAGTCCTGTGCTCAGGCCATACTGGCTCATTTTTAGTTTCTAGCACTGCCCTGTAATTCCTGGGCTTTCCTGGATGTTCCCCAAGCTATAAGCAGAGGTTTATAATAGTTATTGAAAATAAACAGGCATTTTAAAAAGGGAGGGTCTCAGTTCTGGATATACAAGCCAGCAGATCAAATGCTACAGGTGGCTGACATTTAAAGTGTTCAGGATGGAGTTAGGAGGTGAATAGGAAATTTAAGACAAGCATTCTCTAGTCAAGTAGATCCAGAGCTCTTCAGGCCAGGACAGGACCTGGCAGGCCCACCTTGCTCCTCCTGTGGCCTACTGAATTCCCAGGATTTGGTGTTTCCCCACAATAATCTGCTCCGTTTGAAGCATAGGAGAACACAGGGAGTGTTGTCCCCACTTGAGAGTGTCAGTCAATGGGTTTTACTTTTGCAATGAATAGGGCTGTGGCTTTCGTTAGAAACTCCTCCCTGTTCATGGAGGAGCAAATCTTCCTCTCTAGCAATGCTTTGTCCATGGCCAAAGCCAAACAGTCTGGTCCCAGTTTGGAGCCGGCCTCCAAGTAACGGATGGGCACAGAGAAGTCGCTGGCTCCAAGAGCATCTTCCAGAGTGCCTAGGACTGCCTGGCAAACCCTTTTATCCGCCACGCCAGAACCATCATCAAGTACATCGTACAAAGTATCAGCCTTGGCCACAAACTCAAGAAGCACGAAGCAGCTGAGCACCCCATAGCGGAAGACATCGAAAGGCACTGCCTCATGGTCCCGGCACTGGATCTTCCTCAGCAAAGAAGAAACAACCTCTTCAGGCACTTCCCCATCTTGGCAGATCTTCTTGAGCAACTCACTGTAGATTTTGCCATTGACACCTGGCTTCTTCCTCCTGCCCCTAGCACTTAGGCACTCGTAAGCCATGCTGACGTTGTTGTTAAAGGCAGTCCTGCCATGACACACAATCAAATAATTTGTTAGCAGGCAAGGTTGGGTCTGGTGCGGAGCGGGAAGTTCCAAGTTACAAGTTACAGATCCATAGCTAAAGCAACAGTTACCAAAATATAACTTGGCGAAGCTTGCAACAGCCCAGTCCATCCAGAGTTCTGGATACATTTTCCAGCCATGCAAGATGAATTATACTGAACAACATTGAGCCCCACACCCACTGTCTGCCAACACTCCATCCTCTTTAATCCAGTGCTCTGGACAGCAAAGCAAGGCAAGCAGGTTTGCTTACTCTTCAGAGTGTATGATATGAATAGCACTTAAGCTTATCTGGGCCCAGGGATAGTTTCCCCTCACACCTGATTTGCAGAGCATCAGTCCCCTGCCCCGCACCTGCTGTGCAAGGCTGTGGCACCAAGGACAGAATAGTCAAGGATGAGCAGGCCAAAGGCACTGCCAACCCCCATTGGCCCTGCTCTCTCAGCAGACTGTAGAGACTACGACCCCTGGCATGTGCGGACCCCCTTAACTAACAAGAGGGCAGGAAAAGCCCAGTATTAATACAGCCATGAAGACTACAAGTCCCATCATGCATTGCTTACCCTTCAGAGCAGCAGCCTCACAAAGACGACTACTCCCAGAATGCTCTACTCGCCGGCCCAGAGAAAGTTATACCGGGCCTGGCTTGAGGCATGCCGGGAGTTGTAGTCTCGCCCCGCACCCCCGTCCTCCAGCTCACGCTCCGCACCTGTGTGAATGGTGGGCCAGGCGCACGTACCACAGGGCCCGGGCGAGGCGCTGCTGCTGCCCGTGCCGGTCCCCGGCGGCACCGCTCAGCACCAGCTTTTCGAAGTAACTGGCCAGGAAGGAGACGGGCTCCTCGGGCCGGGCCTCCAGCACCTTCAGCAGCGCCTCCCGCACCATGGACGTCACCCCTGCTTGGAGCAGGAACTCGGCCTCGCTCTCCGGTTCCCGGCCTCCAACTCCCGCCCGAACCGGCTCCACGAGCCCGCTCCCGGTCGCCGGGGCCGGAGCTGAGCGCCGCTTCTCGCAGGTCGCCATCTTGCTTGTGGGCCGTGAGGCTACTCTACCGCCATCTTGACTGCGGGCTACTAATCAGTTGGTGAGGACCCGTCTGTCCGACATATTACTTGCTCTCAGCCAATCAGTGGGTGAAGAAGACCGTTGGTCGCCATCTTGCACCCCTGCAGCCAATCAACCGGCGAGGGAAGCCGGTGGCCGCCATCTTGCTCAATTCTAAGCCAATCAGAGAAAGCGCTGGGGTGGCCATCTTGACTGTGGGCAATGAAGCGTGGTCGCCTGCATTTTAGTTCTGGTACCTTCCGTCCCTATGTCCCTGGGACTGCGGTGAACCTTGGCCCCGCACCCCCGGGGTCTACATCCGGCCACACCCCGGAACAGCCTCGGCTACCATAGTTAGTGTGGGCAAATGCCCCTTGCCTACCAACGGGTATCTAAGGACGCTGACCTCTGACCTGGGTTTCTCTATCCGGTGCCCTTTGACCTCTTCCCTCACGAAGGAAGTCGGGTGGGGGCGTGTGCGGACGATCTCCTGAGTTAGCGCGGTTCCTGCTCCCGGCCTGGCGTGCGCAGGTAATGCGGGTCCTGTATTGCGGCCCCGGTGTTTAGGGGGAGGGGGACCCCCCGTGCTCTGGGCGGGGCTGCAGGTTCTAGGGTCCCCCTACGGTTTGGGAGGGTGTGTAACGGGCCTGGGCTCGGCCCCCTTCGGCGGGAGCTGTGGGAGGGAGGGGGCTGGGCTAATGGGGGGCTGAATCCCTCCAACAGTTGCATGCTTGGGGCGGGGCTGTGAGGGGAGGATGCGGGTTACTCCTTCCCGCCATGTGGCCCGCCCAGACAAAGCCCTTCCACCAGGTGGCTGGGCCTAGCGGGTAGAGCAAGCGATGGAAGCAGGAGGCCTGGGTTGTTGTCCCAGCTCGGGCACCGTCTGACCTTTCTTGAGCTCTCTTGCCCCGTGTGTATAATGGGGTAATCTGAGCTAACCGGTGTCGTGAGAGGGAAGGGTACCAGGGAAAGGGCAGCGTGTGGTTAATGAGAAAGCATGTGCTCACACTTCCTCCTCCTCCCTATGTTCTGCATCCTCTTTCCCAGCTGTTCCTTTGATTCTCCCACTCCCCCCTTCTTTCATGATGCCTCCTGCCTTTGGACCAACTCACTGTTCCTGTGCCCTCCTTCAGAGCTGCTTCTGTCATTAAATCTCTAGCACTGATCACTGGAATTTCTAACAGCCTGAAATGATGCCCCGTAATTGCCTGCGTTAGACTGGAAGGCCCTCCAAGTGGGGACCTTGCCTTCTTTCATGCTCCGTAAAGTGCAGAGCAAGCGCATACAGTGTTATATAAATCCTTGCTTTGCCAGGTGTGATCTCCAACATCATGGAAGCAGGGAAAAGCTCTCCAAAGTCCCCAGTCAGGAGAAAGCGGAAGCGATCTCAGCGGCTCCTCAGCCGTGCGGCTGTTCCCCTGGAGTTCTACCGCTGCAACATCTGCAAGAAGGACATCAAGCACCTCTCCAACTTCCAGGAGCACCAGCGCATCCACACAGGCGAGCGGCCCTACCACTGTGAGACCTGCCAGAAGAAGTTTATCCGCTGCGCTGACCTCATTAAGCACCGCCTGGTCCACTCGGACAGTAGGCCCCACTGCTGCGATGCCTGTGGCAAGCACTTCAAGCTGGCTGGGGACCTGGCCAAGCACAGCAAGGTCCATTCGGACGAGGCGCCCTTCCAGTGCGACGTGTGCGCCAAGCGCTTCAAGCGCACGTCCTGCCTCATCAAGCATCTCCGCATCCACACCGAGGAGAAGCCTTTCAAGTGTTCCCAGTGCAGCAAGAGGTTCAAATGGGAAGCCTCCGTCAAGGAGCATCAGCGCATCCACACAGGCGAGAGGCCTTTCAAGTGCGAGCGCTGCCCCAAGAGCTTCACCCACTTCTCCACCTTCCTGCAGCACAAGAGAACTCACCAGAACCAGAAGCAGTTCAGCTGCAAATGCTGCTCCAAGTCCTTTAACCACAAGTCCAACCTACTGAAGCACCAGCGCACGGTCCATGGCTAGGAGCGTGCACAGTCTTGGGTCCTGCTTCCGTGCAGCTGTGATCAGTCTAACTTGCTTAGGCTGCCCCAGTCTTGGAGTCTGCCCATACTCTGAGCGAGGCTGCGAATGTGCTGAAACCCAGCACAAAAGCTGGGCCTTACGGAAGGGAGGCAGAACCTTGAGTATGTGTGATAAGGAGCCTGGGGTTTGGAGCAGCTCCAGCGCCATGCTGGTTATAGTGGTCCCTGATGACCGGGAAGCTGCGGGCAGTGGCTGTGCACAGATGATATTGGTACAGCGGTACTGGTGCAGGAGCTGCTATCAGATGGCTGGACTCTGGCTCACAGCCTGACCAAAGGTTCCCTTGTGATCCCGCTTCTTAAACACCCTGCAGGACTGTGACACTTGCTAATTTAATCCAGGACAGAGGTCTTCCGTGTTCCAAGCTCAGATCTGAGCAGAGCGCTGCTTAGCCATGCTGCCATCTGTCCCACAGATGCAGCTGGTCTTTCATACACTACACTACAAACTGCAGGGGGCCTCTTCGCTTCTGCTGCCTCTGTTTATCCCCCCATCCCCCTCATCTTGGTTTCAATGCTGTAGGAATGTGTCTAGTGCACCTGAGGTTTGGGTGAAGGGAAAAAGGGCTGATAGGGCCTGGTGTTCCACCTCCTGGGGCGGGGGGCTTGTTTCTGACTGGATGCATCTGCATTATCATGATTCCATGCACTCTTGAGACAAATACCAAACAGAATGGTTTCCAGGAAGCAGCTGCATAGTCTGCTTGATGGAGAGTGTTCTTGTGGCCACTCAGTTACTGTAAATGCTGCCTGCAGCTGCTTTAAATCATGAGCCTGTCAACGTCATGTTTCTTATCACGCACCTACCTCAATGTGGCAGCAGCGTCTTCTGGGTGGAATTCTGTACCATGTCCCTTAGAGGCTTTCGCTGTAATCTGTCACTGTAGTTCAGTTAAGCTCATCCACCTTACTGTGTTCTGCAGTGATGGCCAGACCTTGCAAGTAAAGAAGGTCCCCACCTCCAAGAATCTTTGATCTAATGCTTTATTCTCCAGGGAGCGGGCGTTGGACCTCTACTTCCTGACAGAAGAAGGGCTGGAGAGCAAACTTGAGAGGAGTGTATGTGAACCGCTGGAGATTTTCCCTCTTTTCCCCCAACACGCCCACCTCCCAAGGAGGGACGGGCTCCAGCCCAATGACAGCATTTAACTGAGTATTTTCTCGTGGTCACTAATAAACAAGCTCATAAAGTTAGTTCTACAGAATTGGGCCAGCATAACTCATTCTGCCTGCAAATAGGGACATGAGGGCTACTAAAGGGGGTTTTAAACAAAAGCATCAAAGGAAGACAAAGGATTGCTTGATTCCTACCCAAAGCTAGAGCAATGCAGGGGTCTGATGACAGCTACAACACAGCCCCTCTGTGCTAGCACGGGGGCCTGGCTTGTAAGCACAGACGTGCAGCTGGTTTCTGTTGAGGTGTGCATTTGGATGCCAGAGTTAGGACTTTACCAGGGAGGGAAGTGGTCCATTCTTCTGGAACCAAAAGCACTGCTCTGAACCAAATTGCATCAGTGCAGAGACAAAGGTGCTTTTTGGCTTCACCAAAAGCACTGAGGTCAGGGAGCGGCGTACGCCACTACTGGATTGCCCTTCCAGTGGTGTAGCCATCACTCCATTAATCATGGCAGAAAAGTGGGGTGTTACCTCTATAAACCCTGAAGTTTGTAATTTTGGTGTAAAACAGTCTTCAGACTGGCAGGGGGTTCCCAGAAGGCATGGGACTTTTCAGCCACAGTCAGGATAGGCCAAACACTGGCCTTTCAGCTCAGCTGTTCAGGGCAACAGTGCCGGTCATAAGTGTGCAATAGTCCTAGTCCAGTTCCAAATGGATCACACAGAGACTGCCCCACAACATGCCATGGGTTGAGTGAGCTGCCCTCTACCTGTGAGAAGTGGGTCTTGAGGTGGAGTTGGGGTATGTTGGGAGGCTGGTGCTAGGGAAGCTTTTCGGCCGCCTGCTCTCTGAATAGAGGTTTCATTGTCCAGCGCTGTTCACTTGAAACAGCAGCCCAGCAAACATCTCCGATCAATCTCCCTCCCAGCGGGCAGGGATCAAAAGTCTCCTCGTATTGAAAGAAAACTTAAATGGAGCAGCTGGCAACTGGATGGTGTTGCCCTTTAATCTGCTTTGTGGCAGCAGAACGGGTCCGTGGCAGTGGCCCATGAGATGTGCCAGCAGCGGGCAGGCTGTGCTTTAACAAGAAGCCTGTTACTGAACATGAGGCTACCCTTGGTTGCCGCTTTAAAACTGCAGTTTGTGCAGGAGCCGGAGGAGGGGCTCTTTGAGAATGTGCAGGGATTTGTGTTTCGTTTTTAAATAAAGGTGGTTTGTTTTTTTGCTTGTACATTCTGAACTCAAAGCAACAAACCTTGGCTGCTAATAACTGGGAACATGGCAGCAGCCTGCAGTCTTTCCACCTTAGCTAGGACTTCATCTGCTCTTGTGCTACACAGGGCTGGGCCAGGGCAGTGTTTGGAGGGGACACGCAGGAACTGGTGCTGATTTTAGGAGGGAAGAGCACTTCCCGCTGTACCCCACTGCAGCTGCTACGGCTCACAATCAGAGGGACTACAGATCGCTAGGGATTTTTTTTTTTAACTGCACCCATTCTGGTTGCTGAGTACACAAGCTGTGAGGCCTTTGTTAACCCCAGTATCCTAGCTTTGATTCCAACCGGGGAAACTATATTCTGATGCATTAATATCCCCTTCCAGCTGGATGTGTGGGAGATCTCCTTTCCTTTAAGTGGGGGTGTGTGGTTGCTGCAGGTGGTGGGTTCCTGAGCAAGTTCTGAGTCTGGTATTTGTTCAGTGGAGCTGGGAGGTCAGAGAGCAGAAGGAGACTCCACCCGCCCTTGCTGGGACGTCCGACTTCCGACACACACAGAGAAGTTGCCACAGAGCAGTGATACTTTTCCGAGAGCAGGGCCCGGAGAGAGGCGTTCTCTCAGGCACAAGGAACAGAGGCAGGAATGGAGTGCTTAATTCCAGACACGCAAGCCCCAAGCTGTCACTTTTCCTGCACTACAGAGAACTTTGAGATGGGCTGTAGCCAAGTTCTTTGCAAAGGGATCTTGTCCCTTTCTCCTGTGTCCCCAACCTGCCCCTAACCTTACCAGGGAGGGGAGCAGCTCTCTGTTCTGGCCCTCTCTGGCCCCTTTCTGAAGTCCTGGCCCCAGCCACCAGATGTGTGGCCCGTAGCCTGAGTGACAGCTCTGAGTGCTGCAGCTGCAAGGAGAAACTGGACCAGCTCTGCCATGGCCAATGACCCAGCTGGGTTTTCTGTGCTTCCCCAAGGTGACCTACTGGGCTTCATACAACACCACAGCTTTCCCAGCATGGACAAAGCCACACTCACTTCCTCGCTTGGCAGCTGCTTCGGCCACAATCATCCCTGGCTGAGCACAAATGTTAGGCCTCCTGCAGGAGTAGGAATGTGGGAGTACTGACCCTACTAGGCCCAGGGCTGTTCCACCCTGCCGGGCAGGAGGAGGACTAAAGCACCTATTGACCGATTAGGACTAAATGGGCTTGTTTCTGTGATTGCTCCTTTATCTCTGTCCTTGCTTCCCGTGCCTTGACAGGGCTTGAGCCCAGCAAGCAGGAACCCAAGTTCAGAACAGCAGCGTTTGCTCTGGGAAGTTTCCCCAGGGGCCATCAATGGCAGCCCAGGCCCCAGCCTTGGGGATTTCCTTGCTGAGATGGTTACATGTGAACTAGTGGAGAGAGACGTGCTGCTGTGTCATAAGGAACTGAGACCTCGGGCTGATGGGAGAGGCTGGGAGCGTGTGGAGCACAGGTGGCGTGGTTCTGTTTGTTGGACTCAGGGAGAGCTGGTTTTTCTCGGTAAGGTGTTTCTGGGATTCCCATCTCTCTCGGATCAAGGGAAGCATGCCTCTGCTTCAGCCAGGAGAGCCAGTTGTGCCGTTTTAAAGCCATCAAGGCAGCAGCTAATCAGCAAACTGCAATTTGGTGCCTCTTGCAAATTTTGATGGCACCCATTAAATCCGGCTGAAGTCAAAATGCCCACAGGAATATACTCATGGGGCGATTCTGCGAGCAGCTCTGTGCCCTCCCTGCCCCCATCTGTGGGGAATACAAGCATACACGTGGCCCTGCTGCTGCAGGCAAACAGTAGGGCCAGGGTAAAGAGAAGCAATACTTGCCAAGGAAACCACTACAGGGTATATGTAAAAATAGATCTTTATTAGAGCAGCAGATCTTACTATATAACAGAAACTCAGTGAACACAGCAGGTCTACTGCATTATCAACATTTAATACAGGTTATTTACAAGCAGCCAGCTTGGATAGATTACAGCAGTTGGGAGGGGTTTCTTAGGACATTTTAAATACACAGATAAGGATGGGATGGAAACTGAAGTCAGTATGGGGGCTGGCGCATGTACGATCTTGGTGTGGAAGGAACCCAGGCAGCTGCCCCACAGCCCTCTCCAGAAGGAGTTGCCACCCCGTCTCAGAGCGAGAGGCTGAGGCTGCAAAGTGTCAGCGCAAAGAAACCCAGGGTCTAGAGCTGTAGGAGCGGTATAGAGCTGATAGTTCATCACTGTTGTGCATTTGCTTAAAGTCTCCACTCAGTTCCAAGGGGCTAAGGCTGAGCATATTCTCACCTAGTCCCTCCCTAGCCAACCCTCGATGCACCTGGAATCCCCCCCCCCCCCACTTCTCTTCCTCACCCCCACTGGAAAAACATAACATACTTAGGAACAAAAACAGGAGCAACTGACCCCAGAGAGTTTGAAATAAGAAGCCAACATCAAAACGAACGAGGCAGATCCAGAAAGGGATTTCAAACCAATCCCACAGGACATGTTACTGGCATCTCCTCAGCCGGAGGCCTCAACCAAGGCAAAAGTTTTCAATATACCGTGAAGAGGAAATCCAGTGGTCTGTTTTAGAAACTGCTGTACCCTGATACCTGTGACCTGTTCATCTCCATTGGGAAGCTCTTGTCTGAGTCATGTGTTAGTCACACAGGTGTGTCTGTAGGAGCCAAGTCTCAGCAACTGCCTGCATTTTGGACCAAAATGCTCCTACTGCACTTGAAACCAGAGGGAACCACGATGCCAAGGAGTGAAGTGGAGGAAAGGAAAGAGACTGGTCAACCTACAGTTCTGCTCAGCTCTGCTGGGCAGCTTTCAACTTGGCCATTTACCCAGCTCTCCCAGCAGTGGCCCAAGCATCAGACAGCTCCTCCACTCCCGTCTCTGGACAGGTGCAGTCCAAGAGGCCTAGCTGGGTCTAATACCAAGCTTTCTGTAACAACGGGCAACCTTGTCAGTGGAAAGAGGATGAATGTTCAAAACGAGTCGCGATGGGGCCACAAGCACCTAAACGCTGTTCCCCTTAGGGCTCTTCATGCCCCGTGGGTGGAGTCGTCTCCACAGGCGATATGATGCAAACGCTGTGACTATCAGGCCCAGGAGAGAGCCTGCCGTCCCGACCGCGATGGCAGAGTCAGTGCTGAAGATAGCTGCAAAGAAGAGACAAGAGAAATTGTCAGTTGCCGTGCCTGAGCCTTTAGCGGGGCTCCATCTCAACAATCAGCAAGTATAAACATCACAGCATGGGTCCTGCTGTCTTAAGCTTCCTTTGCACCAGCGGCTGGTTCTCCAGCCAGCCACCAACAACAGCTGCATCTTCACATCTCATGGGCCCCCAGGGCCAGTGGCACTGATCAGCAGCCTCAGCAGAGAGGATTTAATGGGCTGTCTAGGCTAACAGGCTCGTGCCCAGAGATTGATCCCTCCAGCCCCGGGTTAGGGCACATGGGCAGGGAAACTTGCACGGCCGCTGCCCGTGTTGTCCTAGTGCCTGTGGATGGAATTTAGCCATTCTTCACTGTAGCGTTCAACAACCAAGAGCAGCGTGTGGCTAAGACCCGTGTAGTGCTTGGCCCTTGACCACACGCGCGCCGCCTCTCCCCCCACCACTGGGTTTGCTCAGAGGGTCATGCTGACCAGAAGCTGTAGTTTGTGTTCTAGTGTTCCCTGGGGGAGTACAGATCGGGGGAGGAAACAAACAATCACAGGGACGCCAACGCCTCCTCCCTGGGCTGGCCTGCACCTCCCCACAGCGACCAACCACGCCTGACTGCAAAGCCCTTGGCAGCCACTCACCAGTAGACACAGCGACGTTCAGGCTTGCCACCTGGAGTCTCCTGCTCAGCGT